TATATATATATATAAGTGTCATTTTCTCCCTCAATAATTACAATTAAACTAATATTAAACTATTCCCCATCCATTGTTATCGTCGCCATCACATTGTCCAACCCATTCTGAAGTAGAGAGATAGATGTAATATATATATATAGATAGATGGATGGATAGATAGGAAATTATTATAGAAAAGAGAACCGAACAGAGAATTGAATAGAATGCGTCTCCAACTCGAGTGAGAAATTAAAGAAAATTAGAGAGAAAATATTGCATTAATGTTATCACTGTAGGAAGACTTGATCAACACATGAGTGATCAGAATTAATCAAAGGTTTTAATAAAAAACACTTCAAGTTCTCATTCGTGTGATGCTCTTCATACGTCTCTTGCAACTAGAATAAATCTACAATTGTAGATTAAGGGAGATGAGATCAACAAAGAATAAGGAAAGTTTAGACAAAAGAGATCAACAATAACAAGAACAAGTATTTATCCCAGCGAGTGGTGAAAGACAGAAGAGACCGTTGATTTTAAATCCGGCGGTTGTAGATTCAGTAAAAGTGAAATTAAAAATAAAAAAGAAAAGAAAACAGAAGTTGCAGTTTATTAAGATCCGAAATTTGGTGATGAGTAGAGAGTTGAGTTATGGCAAGGAGATAAAAAAATATTTTTAATATTTTAAAAAACATTCATTATATTTTTTGAAATAATATCTGAAGATCTGTTAGTTAAGGTCGACTTAAATTTATCCTCTTAGATAAATATCAACCCCATAACTATAAGAATACATTTGATGACGCAACCCATGGCCGGTGCAGTTTGGGTCGACTACCTATTTTAACTAAGTAGATCAGGGATCATGACGACCCGGGATGACGGAACGAAGGGGTCTTGATCAAGTTTCATTTTCATTCCTCCATCATCCGTATTAAGCTTCAAGTGATAAGTTTTACAATTTAAAGTGTGTTGTTATTATATGTTGAATATACAATTATTAATGACTAAAAAGTGTTATTTCATTATCAAGAGAGATGTAATTAAACATATGGCTTTGCATCTATGAGAAACTTCGAACCACATATCAAAAAGTCGTCACAAAATATAGATGAAATCTCTGGGTAGTATATTATCTACAATCTAATCTGTCTTCTTAAAATTTGAACCTTCAAAGCTCACTCAACAAACAAAATTAAAAAATATGCATAGAGATAACGGGGTGCGAGCGAAATTTTCAAAGCTCACATGTCTGACCATTGATAAAAATGCAAATGATGAGGGAGTTAAAAATTTGTTTTGCAAGCAGGCAGAATGTGGACCTTTTGTATCTTTCTTCTGAAGAATATTATGTGATGTTAAAACCGGCGTGATAAACAAATCATTTAATTCAAAGGAAGTTTTGAAAAAAAATTATAAGGGCGGATAAAATTGACTTCCAGCAATTTGATTTTCTTCTAACAGATTCAGACAACTCTTACTTTTCTATATTTTCTTCTGACCTATGCAGGCATTTTTTTTTTTTGTTGAGCTTACTGTTGCACGTGTGCAATTATGGCTAAATAATGAATGATTGATTGGTAAGAGTTGCTAGTTGGGAGTCACTGATTGTAATTGATCTAAGAGATTATATTTGGACTTCTAACTCCTATAAATAGAGACCGGATGAGGAATAAAATTATCAAAAAAATAGTTGAGGAATTCTAAGGAGGCATAAGACTTTGGTTCATATAGGTGAGTTTTTTTTGTGTATATTAATTTTTATATTTTTAAGTAATTTTTAAAATAGTTGAGGAATCCATGTTGCCTTTTATAAGGCATAAGTTTAGAGTTGGTAATGGATATTATGGTTTTCTTTTATTTAATTAATAACATTATTCAAATCAGTCATTTGATCAACTAATTTCAATGCAAACATGTTATTCGCTTATCACACATCATTTCCACAACTCTTAAATTAACTCATAAATAATTTTAACATCATTAGTCTACATGAAAAGTACAATTGGGAGTGAAGATTTTATTTATTTATTTATGTAAATTCTTTGAAAGATGAGAAGTGGGAAATATTAGAGGCGGATCAAGCATAAGTTTTTAGGATTAGCAAAATAATCAAATGTCTTCTTTCTTACTTAGTAATAGGCCGAAAAATAAAGCGGGGGTTGAGAGAGGGTAAAATTATTAAATTATCTAAATAGAGAAATTGCAAATTCCTCCGGAGGATGGGATTTTATAATTATTTTATTTTTGAAAAGTATGTTTTTAAGGATATGTTCGATATAGCTTTTTAAGTGTAATTAATAATTAAATATTAATTGAGGATTAAATAGATAATTTTAGAGAACTATTAACTAATAAATTACAATTATGATAATTGTTTAATGATAAAAGAAAAGTTAGGATAATTTGTAATTATACTAATTTTAATACGTAAGGGAAAAATTAATAAGTTCATATGACTACTAATTATATATATTTATAAGAAACAATTGAAATAGAGATGAACGAACTCAAAATCTCAAGGTTTTATTCTGCCATAAATGCATATAGTTCTTTTATGTACTTCATAACTAATTTAATTAATTAGATTAATTTATTATTTTATGTTTTATTTTATTTTAATTTAAATATCTAAGCTGAACTTTGTTAATGAACAATAATAAAATACGATCTACAATTAACTTGTTTAACTATGAGTTGATATTTTTTTTCATTTATCATATTTAATTAATGAATGTTTTTTACTCTTAGCTTATGTAATATAGTAATTTATCATATATTTATTTCAATATTTTTAAATTCCTCAAAAAATATAAAAAATAGTTTCCTCTTGTCGCCTACGTGGCAGCAAAAAAAGATAAATAGCTCATTCATCAGCTTCAGTTGACCTTTCCCATACATCATAAAGAGGTCAACACATAAGCAAGCATTACTTCTTCCATATAATTAGTGCATTTATATGCAAATATGCTAAATTCACATTGATTGGAGTGCAATTGACTGACCAACAACCAGATTTAAATTTGAAAGGGAAAGGCGATGCTACAGGAGCACTAAACTGAAAATAAAAACTAAATCAAAAAATACAAGTAGAGAAGTTGTCATATAAAAAAAGATGAAACAGTATGCACTGTCACCCTGAATACATACTGCAAAGCTACACAGATCTCTACTTCTTTGCATAAGAGATGACCATCGGATTCTGAGCTGTCATCTTAAAACCCTGGAGAGCTTGCATGGAAACCGTAGACTGCATCTCATCTCCATACTCTACAAAAGCAATCCCAGGCTTTGCTTCAACCATTCGAACCTCTTTGAATCCTGGGTACTGACAGAAAAGCATTTGCAGCATCATTGGCGTGCATTCATGCGGAAGATTCTCAACGAACAAGATGTTGTTTGGTGGAGCAGGAGCCTCCGGAAGCTTGGCCCCTCCAGGATAAGACAACTGAGATATCTGCTATATTCAATGATTTTAATTACATGAGAAAATATTTCAAAAGAATAAAGAAATCAGAAGACAACACATTAAAATTGCCTAGATTCATATTTATTTCATTTCCACAAACAAAATAAAAATCACAGAAAATGGTATAGAAGGCCAAGAAATATGAACACAAGGATATTTGAAGCAAATTTATGGATGTAATTTTTACTCTCGATGTATAAATAGAGGCTGGTTCCAAATTATAGCTCAAATTAGATTGTAAGTTATAAAGATTCAAGAATATCATTGGCAAGAAAGAAGAATCAAAGTTTTGAAGATCCAGGCATGGAAGAACAATATAACCATGAGATGAAACTAGAACAGGAATCGAATGATTCATGATTGGAGTCATTAAAGGAAATTACAGGAAATATATAAAGAATAATACATCTAATGGAATTCGTTCCAAATCTAATGACATTTCAGATCTGTGAGTTGCATTAACCTAGGTAAAAGTAAAAGGTGGAAATCCTGAATTAGCTGCTCAAATCCAACTCCTAGAATCAATCAAGCAGATTTCTTGTTACCAGCATGCAGCCACCAGCCACCCACTAAACACAAGACTGCTGCCTTGCCAGCAAGGCCAACTACTAGCCGCTTTCTTGCCCTCCCAGTAAAGACAGTTGTTGCCGTTAAAGTAGCTCCAGTATGCCGAGCATCCGGTCAACCTGTTCGCCTCTAACAAGCTGCCGACTGCCATTCCTCTCCATGCTATCAGGCCCCTAGTTGGTGCACCAGCTCTTAATACCTAATGGGGATTGGATTCCATTTCTACATTCACGTAATACTTACTGTAAATAGATGAGACTAATTTCATCCTTATTTCTTCCCTTCTTTATGATGCTAGTTGTAATCTTATTGAGCAACCTTGTTGTCTTTCTATGTTAGCTGACCATATCTGCTAGTACGAAAAAATTGAATTGCACGCAAAAATAATACTAGAGCGACGCACAGATTTACGTGGTTCGGCAAATTTGATAACGTCCATGGAGCTACAGAGAATTTTATTTCTTCGAGGAATTACACCATCGAGCGCCTCGACGTTCACAAGAAAATTTCTATTTTCTTCTCCCTTCCTCTCTCTCCCTCTTCCTCTCTCTCTCTCTTAGAGGATCTAGCTTGGCCTTGCTTGGCTTGGTTTGGTTATAACAAGTCATAAGAGACTATTTATAGAAGCCAGGAGAGCATCAGATGGGAGATAGGTGACCAGTAGGTGGGATGTAGTAAGTGAATGGTAGGTGGAAAGGTAGGTGAGCGGTATGTCACGCTCCGCCATATTCGAGAAGTCATCAAGACGAAAATGAGATGGAAGATTCTAGAGAAAGTCAGGATATAAAGAGTCATCAAAGGGACTCTAGAAGATTCTGCCACATTCAGGAGAGAGCAAGAAGGAAAAGCTTTAAAGAGAATCTAAGAATAACCTAGAATGTTCTAGAGTTATGTATGTACATAAGAATAGTCTAAGAGATAGAATATTATATTGTAATCTAGAAACTTCTCTTGGACTTGGAATAGTCCCACATTGGCTAGATGAAAGGCCAAAGGCATTGAGGAGGCTATAAATAGGAGCTCCTCCCCTCATTTGTATTTACCCAAGCATTGAATCAAAACATTCTAGTATTCAAGTGCTAATTATTACTTTCTCTCTATTATTCTTCTTAAGAGTGTTTGGGGCTCATAAGTCCAGTGTTGTGAGGGGTAAGGCTGATTTAGTGCTAAGAAAGAGCGCTAAAGCCGCACGGGTGACTTGAGGAAAGTTAGTCCGTGACAG